GGAGGCAACATGTCTGGCCTGGCAGTAATAGGCCTTGGGTTACTGCTGGTAATCCTGCCTTCCCCTTGTAGGGTTAGAGGAGGTCAGAACATGTGGCCTCCTTGCCGTTTTTGCACCATCACATAAGTAAAAATAAAGGAAAAGAATCACATGATCATATCAATTGATGCAGAAAAGGCATTTGATAAAATCCAACATCCATTCCTGATTTAAAAAAAAAAAAACTCTCAGAAAAATAGGAATAGAAGGGAAATTCATCAACATAATAAAAGGCCTATATGCAAAACCAACAGCCAATATTATTCTCAATGGGGAGAGACTGAAATCATTCCCCTTGTGAACAGGAACCAGACAAGGATGCCCCCTCTCTCCGTTTCTATTCAACACTGTATTGAAGTCCTAGCCAGGACAATAAGGCAAGAAAGGGAAATGAAAGGCATCCAAATTGGTAAGGAAGAAATAAAATTATCCCTATTTGCAGATGATATGATCTTCTATATAGAAAACCCAAGAGACTCAGCAAGAAAACTACTGGAACTTGTTGAAAAATTTAGCACAGTGGCAGGGTACAAGATCAACATACAAAAATCAGTTGAATTTCTCTATACCAGCAAAGATCTACTATGCCAGGAATAAAAATTGAAGAGGAATGGTGTCACATTCATTGTCAAAAAGAACGTTTCAAGATCTATCCTAAAGTACAATGCTGTCAATGAGAGGGTAATACCCATGTGCCCACAAGGAAGATCAGTTAATACTACTATAATTCAAATTTATACACTAACCACTAAAGCCAAACATGAAGAAATTGAAGATCTTTATTAACTTCTACAATCTGAAATTGACCAAATTTGTAATCAAGATATATTGGTGATTGGAATGTGAAAGTTGGAAATGAAGAATCATTGGTAGTTGGAAAATATGGCCTTGGTGACAGAAATGACATTGGAGATTGCATGATAAAATTTTGCAAGACCAATGATTTATTCATTATAAATACTTTTTTTCAACATAAATGGCTGCTATACACCTGGACCTTGCCAGATGGAATACATAGGAATCAGATTGATACATCTCTGGAAACAGGCAATGGAGAAGCTCAATATCTTCAACCAAAACAAGGCCAGGAGCTAACTGTGGAATAGACCATCAATTGCTCATATGCAAGTTCAAGTTTAAGCTGAAGACAATTAAAACAAGTCTATGAGAGCCAAAATAAAACCTTGATTATATCACCTGAATTTAGAGACCATCTGAAGAATAGATTTGATGCATTGAACATTAATGACCAAAAAACAGACAAACTGTGGGATAAACATCATAGAACATCAAGAACATTATACAAAGAAAGCAAAAGGTCATTAAAAAGACAGGAAAGGAAGAAAAGACCAAAATGAATGTCTGAAGAGACTTTAAATATTGCTCTTGAATGGAGAGTAGCTAAAGCAAATGGAAGAAATGACAAGATAAAAGAACTGAGCAGAAGATTTCAAAGAGCAGCTGGAGAAGACAGTCAATTATTAGAATGAAATGTGAAAAGACTTGGAGTTGGAAAACCATAAGGGAAGAACACACTCAGCATTTCTCAAGCTGAAAAGAACTGAAGAAAAAAAGCAAGCCTTTAGTTGCAATATTGAAAGAACTATGGGCAAAAGAAGGAGCTCTGATGGTGTGCTGCCTAAGGTATTTGACTGCTAACCAGAAGGCTGGTGGTTCAAACCCACCAGCCACTCCATGGAAGAAAGAGTGTGCAATCTACTTCTGTAAAGAATTGTTGTTGTTGTTGTTATGTGCCGTCGAGTCAGACCTGACTCATAGTGACCCCTCCTTGGGTTCCTGAGGTGGTATCACTACGTAAGTAGATTGCCCAACCTTTCTTCTGACGAGTGGCTGCTGCTTGAAAATCCAATCGGGGTCACTATAAGTCAGAATCGACTCTGTGGCAGTGAGTTTGGTTTAGTTTTGTTATGGGCAAAATATTGAATGATGCAGGAAGTATCAAAAGAAGATATACATAGTCACTACACAAAAAAGAATTGGTCAATGTTCAACTGTTTCAGGAGGTGGCATATGATCAAGAACGAATGGTATTGAAGGAAGAAGAGGCTCCAGGAATTGATGGAATACCCATTGAAATGTTTCAACAAACAGATGCTGTGCTGGAGATACTTACTTGTCTATGACAAGTCATTTGGAAGACAGCTACCTGGCCAACTGACTGGAAGAGATCCATATTTGCACCCATTCCAAAGAAAGATGATCCAACAGAATATGGAAATTATCAAACAATATCATTAATATTACATATAAGTAAAATTTTGCTGTAGATAACTCAAAAATGGTTGCAGCAGTATATTGACAGGGAACTTCCAGACATGCAAGCTTGATTCAGAAGAGAAATTGGAACAAGGAATATCAATGCTGATGTCAGGTGAATCTTGCCTGAAAGCAAAGAATACCAGAAAGATGTTTACCTGTGTTTTATTGACTATGCAAAAGCATTCAACTGTATGGATCATAACAAAGTACGGATAATATTGAGAAGAATGGGAATTCCAGAACAATTAATTGTGCTCATGAAGAACCTGTACATAGACCAAGAGACTGTCATGTGAACAGAACAAGGGGATACTGCACGGTTTAAAATCAGGAATGGAGAGCATGAGGGTTCCATCCTTTCACCATCATATTCAATCTGTCTGCACAGCAAATAATCCAAGAAGCTGGACTATAGGAAGAAGAACATGGCATCATTATTGGAGGAATCTGCAGATGACAAAACCTTGCTTGCTGAAAGTGAAGATGATTTGAAGCACTTCCTGATGAAGATTAAAGACTACAGTCTGTAGTATGGATTACACCTCAACATAAAGAAAATGAAAATCCTCACAACAGGACCAATGAGCAACGTCATAATAAATGGAGAAAAGACTGAAGTTGTCAAAGACTTCATATTACTCAGATTCACAATCAACACCTATGGAAGCTTCAATCAAGAAATCAGATGTCATATTGCACTGGGCAAATCTGCAGCCAAAGACCTCTTTAAAGGGCTGAAGAGCAACACCGTCAAAGACTAAGGTGTGTCTAACCCGAGCTATGGTATTTTCAGCCACCTCAGATACATGTGAAAGCTGGACAAGTAAGGAAGACTGAAGAACAGTGGATGATTTTGAGTTGTGGTGTTTGTGAGGTAAGCTGAAAGTACCATGGACTGCCAGAAGAACGAACAAATCTGTCCTGGACGAAATGCAGCCAGAATGCTCCTTGGAATTGAGAATGGCCAGATTTCGTCTCACCTACTTTGGTCACATTGTCAGAAGGGACCATTCCCTGGATATCATGCTTGGTAAAGTGGAGGGTCAACAAAAAAGGGGAGGAACCTAACAAGATGGATTGATACAGAGACTGCAATGATGGGCTCCAGTATAGCAATGATTGTGAGGATGGGGCGTGACGGGGCAGTGTTTCGTTCAGTTGTGCATAGATAAGGTTGCTATGAGTCAGAGCTGACTGCTGGCACCTAACAACAACATTTTCAAATCAAAAAGACATTATTTGCCTTTTTAATTCTTCTCTTACCAGCGCACAGTGGTTTTTCAAAAGTTACATGACATATAATGTTGCAAGACTGAATGCAGAAGCAAATGGGAAATGCAGCTGTTTTCTATGAAGCCAGATATTAAGAGACATACAGAAATGTAAAACCATTCTTGTCACTACTTGTTTTTGTTTTGGAAAATATATTTTTTCCAAAAATGTTATGTATAGCAGCATGTGTTGAGGTCATTATTTTATTTTTAAGGGTCTTTAATATAGTAAATTAATATGGTAAATAAGAGCTCTGGTAGCATAGTGCCTAAGGCATTTGACTACTAACCAGAAGGCTGGTGGTCCAAACCCACCAGCCACTCCTCGGAAGGAAGATTGGGCAATCTACTTCCATAGTGATATTTCCTCGGAAACCCAAGGAGGGGTCGCTATGAGTCAGATCCGACTCCATCGCAGTGAGTAATATGGTAAATACCTTCATAGAGAAAAGATCTTGAAGTTCTCAATAAGTTTTAGAGTGCAAAGATTTTCTGATACTAAAAAGTGAGAACCATTGGCTTTGGTGGGAAAAAAAACCCTCACTCTGCCACCAACAAGTGTGTCGAGCTGAGCAAGTCTTTTACCTCCCCCAAGCCTTGATTGCCTTATATATAAAATGGCAGTGATATTACCTACACTTCCCACTTACCAGGGAAATTCCAAGTGAAAAACAAACATATGTTTGTCTGGGAACCCTGTGAAAAATATGGATTGCTATCTAAACATGGATTCCCTGGGTGGTACAAATGGTTGACATTTAGCTCCTTAACCAAAAGGTTGATGGTTCAAGTCTACCCAAAGGCACTTCAGAGGAAGGGATGGCAATCTATGTCTGAAAAATAAGACACTGAAAACCCTAAGGAGCACACTTCTACTGTGACATACTTGAGGTCACCATGAGTCAGGGTCCACTTGATGGCAACTGGTATCAAACTATGGTTCTCTGAGGACCACAGAGAACAAGAGGACTAAAGAAGCCCAGTGATGGAGTGAGAAATTTGGGAGTTCTTTGCACAGCAGCAGGGAGGCTTTCTTCCCAAGGGTGCATAACACAGGGTTTTGGCTGTGAGTTTCAATCTGGGCATCCCAGGGGAACATATCTCACTTCCAGGCCATGTTACAGCCAGGAGGTTGTACAGAAATCTCCCCTGCCCCACAATAGTTTGTCCCCATCTGGAGATCCTTGGGTTCCCCAAGCCCTAGAAATGAGAATCCCCAGGGCGAATGAGGGGCATACAGAAAACAAACACCAGCTTCTCAAAAACAAGAGATGCCTGTTCCTCACTCTGGGGGTGTAGGGATGAAGGAGAAAGAAATTCTTCTCCCACAATCAGAGCCATTCTGCCAGAGCACAAGGAACACTTTGTCAGCATTGGGCTGTGGGAGGCAGAGACTTGAAAGGGACCCACCTTCACCAGTAGCCTCCCACGGCCATCCCACTCCATCTCTAGGTCCTCCTGATAGGTGAGGCGCACAGAAGCCATCACGGTGGACTGAATGCGGAGGTCACCTAGAACCAAGCAGGAATAGGATATGGGCTGAAGTGAGGAGAGGGCAAGGCAGTGGCAGGCAGATGTATTATGGGGAGGGTGTATCACAAAGGACTGTAGCAGTGAATGTCAATGAGTCAGGATGCAGATGTGGGTGCCTATTAGGTTTAAGAAAGTCTCAGGAGGAAGGGTGACCAGGGTAGATGTAGTGCAAACAAGGTTCCCCAGGGAAACCTCAGCATCCTTGCTGTAACATGATATTTCTCCTGCTGCCACAAGAGGGAAGCAGAGACTCCTGCATTCTTCACTTTAGTCTGTCCTAAAGAGATGGGTGGGAGCTCTGGTAGCATAGTGGCTAAGGCACTTGACTGCTAACCAGAAGGCTGGCGGTTCAAACCCACCAGCCATTCCTCAGAAGGAAAGTTGGGCAATCTACTTCCATAGTGATACCACCTCAGAAACCCAAGGAGGGGTTGCTATGACTGCACATAACAACAACAACAAAGAGATGGGTGTCTATGTTGAACCCATGACACAAGAGCATCCCTGGGCCCTTCTACCATTGCACACCACTTCCAGACTGAGTTACTCAGTCCTCACGACTCTGTGCACATGACTGTACAAAGCTAAGTAGAGCAGTTCTTGTTGCTGTAGGAAGGTGGAGAAGAGACAGAAGACAAAACCCTCATCCTGGAGGAAGTTATCCTCTCATGGGGAGACACACACACAGCATTAAACATACATAGACAAGCTGTGTATCCAGTGTGTGACGTTCAAAAAATTGGCATGGAATGGCTAGATTGTTGGAAAGTCATAGAGAAGAGGAGAAGAGATATTTGAGAGCCACTTTGAAGGTGAAGGCTGGGAGTTATGTTGTGCAAAAGTTGTTTGGTTTGGGTTTTGACAGGGCACAGTGCAACCTGGGCAGAGTCACTGGGAGGTAGGTTGTTAAGCCTTATCCTGAATGTTATCCTCTGCTCTGACTCATCACCAGTCACTCCCTGATCTCTGAGCATCACTCTCTGTTTCTTTTTGGCCTCAAAGTAGAACCACCATGCCCAATCCTCAATTCACCTCTTTGGCACAAGTCAAGTGAAAATACTTTTGGCTTCCTTCTCCCCTGTGCACTTTCCCTACCCTGGAGCAACCTCTCCACCTCCAGACCCTTCTCTCATCCTCTTCCTCCAGAACACCTTCCTATCTTTCAGGGATGCAAGCCAAGAATACCTACCACCCCTCCAACAGTAAAATACATTATTTTTGCACAGAAAAGGAGGGGAGGCCTTTAGCAATCAACAGTGTTGAGAGGAGGGACGTTGTGGTTGAGCTGATGGAAGAGGAGGGAGCCTACCTTGCAGGAAGGGAAGCTGGACGTCCTGGCCATCCATGGCAACACCTCCTCCATGCTTCAGCTTCACAAGGCTGTTGTGTAGGAGGGGCAGCCGGATGGTGACCGAGCGGGTGCAGACGGCATCAGGGTCATCAGCACACTACCAGGAGGACATTGAAGAGTGCTATCACCACACTCCTGCCATCCCAACCCCTGACAGCCTTCTCACACTGTGCAACTCCATTCTTACAGAACATTCTAAGTGAATGAGGCCCTTCAAGTTGTGCAACAGGAAGGCACTAAGCCTAAGCTTTCCCATACCCTTTTCCTTCCTGGCCTGGCCTTTTATAAGAACTCTAGGCCTCTGGCTCATCTTCTTGCTTCTTGGGTCTGTTGTTCCAAAGCAAATCAGGGTTTTCAATCCTCAGTGTTACCCCTATATGCTTTATCTGTCCCAATCTGTGCTTTCTTCTCTAGAGAAATATATATGGCACAGATACACACATGTACCATAGAGTTCAATAAAGGAGATGGGCCCACCTTGTCCCCACCCTGATCATCTCCCAACTCCAAACAGCAGTGGTACAGCCATGGGAGCAGCAGACTGGGCCTAAAGGGGACTCTTCTCTGGCTATCAAGCTGAGCAGCCCTGAGGAGGTACTATTGGTAGGGCTGGATGCCTTCTCCCTGCATCCAGAAGAATGAGAGGTAACTGTAGTCTGGAAGAAGGGGCCTTCCTCCTGCACAAAAAATCATCACATATGTCCCCCTTAGAGAGCTACCCTCTCACCCTGGAAGTTATTCCAGCCATCTCAGGCTTCCCCCTGGCCAGCTGGACTAGCAAAGCTCACCTGGACAGTATCTATGACAATGGAGAAGGAGTTGTCCTGGCAGTCCCGAGCCAACAGGTACTGGCAGATCCCACTAAAGGTGAAGTACCTGTTGTCAAAGCTCTTGAAGTGGGATTGTCCTGTGACCAGACATTCACCTGGAGGAACACAGAGAAAAAGGGGAAGAATGGGAGGAGAAAGGAAACCCTCTTAGTCGGGGCAAAGATGGAATGCACATATGAGCAGGGAACCCTCATGCCAAAACTCCACAGACGTGTTCTATACTGGTTCTATCAGAGGTCTTAAAGTCACTTCCAACCCCCACAACCATAAGATGTCAGACTAGATTATTCTGTTCATTTCATAGATGGGAAAACTAAGTGAAGTAATTAACTTAGCCAAATCACACTGGGTCAGTGGCATTGCTCAGAATAGAACCCACATTTCCCAACCCTGTGTCTACAACTGCTTTCCCTGCTTTCAGCACAGCCAACTTCTGTGATTCCCACTTGGGTCAGGGCCACCCCAGTCACAGACAACAGCCTCAGAGCTGCAGAGTGCTCAGCCAGGGAGGGGCCTGTCAAGCTGCATGACCGTCTCTGAACTGGGATCTAGGTGGCTCCAGGATACAGCCCCAGCCTGCTCCAATGCAGAGAGCTCTCTGAGAGAATCCCTAAAGGCAAGCAGGCAGAAAGGGCAGCCCAGAGGAGGGGTGACAAAGGAAGAATGAAGCCAGGACACTCCCAGAGCTCAGCATTGAAGAGTGCAGGACTCCATCTTCACCACCCCCAGCTGAAGGGAAGCTCGAAGGCCTTCTCATGGGCAAGTCCATGCAGTGACTTCAGCCAGGACCAATCGGGGTCCAGGAGGCCATCTGCCCATGATCTCACCACTGCCTGGGCAGTGCTGAGCTCTGCAGTGCCAGCTACAAGTCTAGGCTGACACATCTGTGGGTAGGAACGAGGACTCCCCTCCTTCACTCTATAACTCAAAGCACTAAACTTACCCCAAACCCAACCACCATCATCCTCCCCCCATAGCCCAGCCCAGGTTCCATACCTCTGGCCAAACACACCTCAGACAAGAGAGACCACATCCAGGAAAGGGTCCTCCACAAGGAGGTCTCTGCAATGCCTCCAAAGATTCTACATCAGCCACAAATCAGCTCAGGGCAACCCCATCCCCAGGGCCACAATGGACACATTAAAGCTGAACTAGCCATCTGGAGCCCTTCCCAACCTCCCTTTTGTATTTCCTCTCTCTGTTCTCATCTTTGCCTTCTGCTCTATAGGAAAAGTAGGCATGCATACTATGGCAGTCCCATGAAGGAAGAGCTCTCCTTCCCTCCCACCCACTCTGCTTCCAAACAGCAGAGACCTGTTCTCCGTAGGATTGATCCAGCCTATACCTAAAGTCCCTCCAGAGAGAATCCTACAGTCAATCCCTAGGGGCTGGGGCTGTCACAGAATCGGGGTGCCTAGAGCCACAGGGGAGACTCCATCTCTACTCCTATCAATGAGGGGCTACACAGGCCCCCACTGCCTGCCGCCTTCATGCCCATCTTTGTGCTGTCAGGCATGGTCAGGACAGGGCTAAACTGCACATCTTTGGGTCCAGGTATGGTTCTGTTTGATAGTGTTTGCAGGAAGAGGTAGGGGAGCAGCCCCAGGCTCCTGGTAAGTGTCCCTCCACTTGGTCCTGAGGTAGAGTGAACCATTTCAGGATGGCATGGGCCTAGAGAGGAGGGTAGGAAAAAGCAGGGAGATCCTTCTCCTCAGTATCACCTTCCACCCCACTACCCCTCAAGAAGGGCCAGGATGGGGGTCACCATTTGTGGAAGTCAGAGCAAAACATGCAACAACAAGGAAGGGGTGGAGGTCATCCCAGCTAATTGTATATGGACTGGAATTCCAAACCCAGTGATGTCACAGGAAAGCCTTTTTAAAATGGTTATTTTTCAGAAGTCACCACCATTCTACAAACCATTTGACACTGGTGTCAAATGTCTTGACCCTCTTGCAGTAAAATGGTTGGGAATTCTTCCCCCAACCTTTATGTTTTCTCAGCAGCACTCTTATCTGAGTAAGAAATTGGACCCCTATTATGTTTGACAATGCCCAGGAAAAGAGGGGTCAGTGAGAAAATGTGCAAATATCTGAAAGCAAAACTGTCAGGGCTGGAATCTAATCCTCTAATCTGATCTCCTGTTCTGACTCCCGCTGATTTATGTTCCCAAGTTTCTCCAGAATCAGAAGTCTAAATATTGCATTGTGCTTCTTAACTCCTTGGTACAACTGATGGACAGAGCTGCAGGCACAGGAACTCCAGGAACATGGAGAGTGAGAAGCTGGGTAGCAGCCGGTCACAGAGCTGGCACGTCAGCCAGAACAGGCCACGTGGCAAAGCTGACCCACTCTCTACTCAGAGAGGACACCAAAGACAACCCCAGTCCATCAGTCAGCAAAAGGCAGCCCCTGACAGGCAGTAGGTGGGCAATGAGTTCAGTGAATAAATGTCTGAAGGTGACACTTAGAATAGTGCACAAAGTAGAACACCTAGCAGTTAAAGCAGATCCACTCCTACAAGCATAAGGATCCTCCCTCATGAAGAAACATCAGTCTCTCATCTGATGGAAGCATATTACTGCTTGTAAACAAACCACCACTACCGTACTTTTTTGTTGTTGTTTTTTCCCCAGTGAGTCCTTAACAAGGGGCTGCTCTGTTCAGATCATTGTTTTCCACTCATTTCCCTGCAGCACACCGAAATACCAGCCCACAGGCTTTTTAGCAAAGCAGCTCAGACTTTCTCCTGAGGTAAATTTTTTTCAAAGCCTGCCTCTAAATCACAACACAACCTCAACCAAGTCTACAAGGTACATTTCTAAGTGTTCTGTGGCTCCCATCATTATTTGTTCCCTATGAGGTGCTTGTAATTATTCCCCATTTTACAAATGAGGAAACCCAGGTGAAGTTCAAGAACTTGCCCAAGGTCCCAAAACAGTCCACAAGGATTTGAACCTAAGGAACCCTGGTAGCACAACAGTTAAGTGCTTGACTGCTAACTGAATGGTTGATGGTTGGTGGTTGGTTTAAACTCACCCAGTGGCTTCATGGGAGAAAGACCTGGCAACCTGCTTCTATAAAGATTACAGCCTAGAAAACCCTCTGGGGCAGTTCTACTCTGTCACATGGGGACACACTATGAGTCAAAATCAGCTTGACAGCATCAAATAACAAGAAGTTTGGCTCCAGAGCCCAAAGCACTTGACACACCCCATACTGCCACATGGTAGGCTCCTACAGTTGCTCAGAGACCTCATTTCTTTAGGGCTATATCTATTGTCATTCTCACCCAGAGCACACATGGGCATGTGCCAAACGAGAGAGACATGATGGGGTCGGCACATAAGAGACTGGAGGAAGAACATCTTGGATGGGAAAGGAGACTCATTGCCCTGACCTGAAGGGAGTCTGGTGTGACACCAGAAGCCCCAGTATGGACAAAGGCAAGCCACTGGACACTTCTGAACTTGGGGAGTCAGGAGCCCCCTTCAAGCTCTGGGCATCTAGGAACACACATTCAGATGGGAGAGGCATCTACCCTGGTTTACTCATCACTGTCTTTGTTGACCAAGGATGCAGGTTTATCTTCCATCCTATGGGCTTCAAAACAGACTGGACTTAGATTCCAAAGTTGAATTATAGGGCCACATTAGAATCCATTCAAAATTATCTGAACAGTGAGAGACAGCTCTAACCCAAGGTCTCCCCTCCAACCAATCTGAGCAGGTCAACAGCCTTCCATGCCACCAAGGTCCAGCTCTATCTTATCCTCCTATTCCACCTGCCCCAGCCACACCCCTGCCTCACACCACCCCTCCCATTCCCTGCTCCTTTGGATGTGTGCCTGTGTCTCCATCCTTCTTGGATCCTGCTTAACCAAACAGCTGCCTCTCTGCTCTACAAAGATGGTAACGGCTAACATTTATTGAATATACACTATGTCAAGTAACAACAGCCTCTCAACAGTTCTGGGATGAAACTTCTGTTATTAGCCCTATTTTACAGATTAGGAACTAAGGTTTTGAATGATTAAGCACCTTGCCAAAAGTCTCACAGCTACTAAGTGGTGGGACTGGAATTCCTACCCAGGTGGTCTGAGTCCAGAGCCCATGCTCAGAATTCCAATACTATGCCACCTTTATATGTTCATAGAATTAGGGCCCTCCACTCACACCTTCCCACCTCCAAAAAAGTTCTTTCCACATTCTTCCACTAGGAGTTTGAAGTTCTTTGAGAAGGGATTTGTTCATTTGACATTTACATTAGGTAGATACACTCCTTGGAGAGATCAATCATGGAAGAATAGAAAGGCTGTGTACACACAGGGAGACAGCTCAGAGGGCAGGAGTGCATGGGAGGGAAGGACACAAGGAAGAAGTAACCATGGAAGGAAGTAGGAGGGGAACTGTTGCATTGTGGGAAATTTCAGTCAATGTCATGGGACAAAGTATATGTGAATTGCCATACGGAAAGTGAATTTGCTCTGTAAACTTTCACCCAAATCATGATGATAAATAAAATAATTTTTAAAAAAAAGAAAAAAGGGATTTGTTTATTTGAGCGATAGTCTCTATTAACAGACATGTCCCTTCCACATTAAACCTAACCAGACATTTATAGTTCAGTAGGAACTAAATTAGCAGGGCTTCTCTGGGCAGTGTGTTTTACAGAGGGAGAGGAGAGTTGAGGGCTTCAGAAAGGAACATCTGCAGGCTATAGGGAAGCCATAATTTTGCCTAAGGCTCCCTAATTCCTACCTTGTAAATAGAGGTATAGGAGTCCCTTGGTGGTGCAAAGAGTTAACATAAAGGTTGGCAGTTCTAACCTACTCACAGGCACCTGAAAAGAAAGACCTAGTGATCTACTCCCAAAAGATCACGGCCATTGAAAACCCTATGGAGCACAGTTTTACTATGAAACACATCAGGATGCCATAAGTTTAAATAGACTCAATGGCCACAGGTTGGTTTGTTGGTTGGGTGGTTGGCTGGTTGGTTGGTTGGTTGGTTAATTAAGCAGAGATGTGTGGGGAGCAAAGGAGGCTAACAGAGCATATCACAGTAAGCTCCAGTCCCTCCCTATATAGACTGCTGTCCTGGGCACTTTCTCCTCCTTCATATTACCCATGCACAACACTCTCTGCTAAGCAGCCTTTAAGATGGTCCTAATTTAAAAAAAAAGGTGGTGGGGGGACCAGATTTGCTGGTCTGACAGAGCCTGGTGGAACCACTGAGACTATGGTCCCTAGCTGCCCTTCAGGTCTGGAATTGAACCCACACCTGTGGCTTCCAGCCAAACAAAAGATAGACATATGAGTTGACCATGTACCTGGGGTAGATACACTCCTTAGAGAGAAAAATCATGGGAGAAAGATGGGCTGTTTATGCACAGGGAGACAGTTCAGGGGGCAGGAGTGCATGGAGGGATGGACACAGGGAAGAGGTAACTATGAGGAGGAAGTGGGAGGGGAGCTGTTGCATTGGGGTAAATTGTAATCAATGTCATGAGATAACGTGTGTTTGAACTGCTGTATGGAAAGTGAATTTACTCTGTAAACTTTCACCCCAATACAATTAAATAAATAAATAAGATGGCCCTAATAGTGCCCAACTGTTTGTATACACATCTTCATGTAATCCCCTCCCCTTGAGTGTGGAGTGAAGTTGTTCACTTGTGTCACCTCAGAAATTAGGTTTTAAAAAGACTGTAGCTTCTATCTTGGGTGCTCCTTCTCATCTCTTATATCATTTGCCATATGGGAAGCCAACTCATGTCATGGAGGCAGCCCTGCAGAGAAGACCACATGGTGAAGGACCAAGGCCTACCAATAGCCACATGAGTAACCTTGGAAGCAGATCTCCCTCATTCCCAGTTGAACCTTCTGATAAGGCTGCAATCCCAGCCAATAGCTTGACTACAACTTTGTGAGAGATTTTGGGTCAGAAGCACCCAGCTAAGGCTCATCCAGATTCCTGACACACAAAGACTGTGATATAATAAATGTTTGTTGTTTAAATTACTATGTTTTGGGGGTAATTTGTTATATAGCAATAAATAACCAATACACTTTCATCTTGCTCCAGAGAATCAAAATCCAATTCTACACTCCTAAAACTCAAAATGTCAGTTCCTTCAGGAACTGCTGAGAACCCTAGTCAGCTCTCTACCTTATAGAAGAACCAAGCATATCCCCTTCCAAAATTTCCTCTCCACTCTTCCCAGCATACATGCTACCTGCAATCATCACATCGGGGGCAAATGACAACCCCTCCCAGCAGCTGAACCATGACAATGTGTAGAAAACACCCATGTGCCATGATTGAAATAGACTGAGAGGCAACGATCAGCTAAACTCCAGAATTAAAGCAAGGGGGTCACAGCCAAGGCTTTGAGAACGCAGAGCAAGGGCTTAGTGGTTTCACTGGCAAAATATCAAATCATTCAGGAGACCACAGAGTTGAAACTGGTTAACTTCCATCAGGGCATCAGAAAAATGTCTTTCATCCTCAGTAACATTATCTTCTAGATTTTGAATAGAAGGCCAGGTATCATATTGTCTGCCCAGACCAAGCATTCCATCATGCACACAGTGGGTGTTCAAACAGTTGTTGGATGAGTAGGTAGATGGATGGATGGGCAGGTGGGTAGGTAGATGGATGGATAGATGGATGATGGCCTTCCTTATAGTAAGTGATTGTTAGACTCCCTAATCTGGTAGTCAGTCTGATAAAACACAATAAACCAAGTTCCTAATTTCATCAACTATTGCTCACAGATCTTACACAATGAACAGTTATGTATTTAGATATTAAAAGAAGTGATAGAAGCAACCTCTTATGTCTTTCAGAGAGTTCTTTAAGTCTTTCACAGGGTGTTATTTATGTTAAATTAAGTGTGGATATTGCCTACAAGTGGAATCTTTGGACTTTAGTGTTTCCTTCAAGAATTGCACAGGAAATAAACTGGCTGGTGAGCCCATATCTGAGACAGAGTAATTGACTTAACTTACTGCCCACTTCCTATCTAGTTCTAGATTTTTCCCAGTGCAGGAGACACAGAATAAGATCCTGAGTGACTCTAAACCCTTTAATCCATAGACCTTAAATATGATCCCAAATAGTCAAGCTTAACCCCACCAAAACCAATGTGGTCCCTTCAGCACAAAGGGAGGGAGAGTCCCTCATCTAGATGTTTGTCCTCCAGTTTTATATTATACTCTGCATGCAGGAGGGCCCACAAAGTACTATCCAGCATGTAAAATAAGGGTGAGCTGGTCTTTAACTAAGTAGGGATTCTCCTGAGTTCATGAAGGGATAGAAAAGATCCTCCTGAAAAGGAATGGATCAAGGACTGGGAAAGAAAGGAAAAGAAAGGGCAAAGGTAAGAGTCAGGTAGTTGTAAGTTTGAGTCCTGGCTTGGCCTCTTAGCAGCTGTGTGATTTTGGGTAAGTTATTTAACCTCTCTGGGTCTTTCCCCCTCTTTGTAAAGTGAGAATAGATAATGCCTGCCTCAAAGGTTGTTGTGATGAGATAACACACATGAAGTGTTTAGCACAGAGTCCAAATTCAAAAAACCAAACTCACTGCCATCAAGTCAATTCTGACTCATAGCAACCCCATTGCGTTTCCACGGCTATTAAATCTTTAAGGAAGTAGATTGCCTCATCTTCTTCCCACAGAGCACCTGGTGGGTTTGAACCACCAACCTTCTGATCAGCAGCCAAATGCCTTACCAAGTCCAGCATACAGTAAATATCATGTTAGTTACCATAAAGGGGACAAACCATCAAGAGAGAACCTAGGGTCATTGGGGAGTGAGGTAGAAAGGGACTTAGAATGAACAAGATTTGCAGTAAATAAAATACAGCCAATACCAAACAAAGGGAAAACTGAAGGGCAGATATTGTAAGACAACTTTTCCTAACGTATTTCCCAGGGCAGGGACAGGGTTAGAAGAATCATTTGGTGACCTGGTTTTCTTAGCTCTTGGAACATGCCAAGGTCTTCATAACAGGCATTCCAGAAAACTTCATTAAAACTTACTTCAGGCCTAAAAAATTACCTGGCCCTTCTTCCCCTTAATTTTCCAAAGAATTTGAGTCCTCTTTGCTTAGTCAACCATGACCTTACAGGGTTTGCAGCTCATTCAGCCTTAATCCTCTAAGCAAACAGGTGATGAAAAAAGAACAAAACCTGAGCCCAGGTGCATTCTCCCCTTTCCTCTACTGCAGGGCTCCCCTCCTCTGGCCCATGAGTGAGTTAACACAGCTAGTATCTGAAACCAGAGCTGCAGTCAGGTGGTTGCACCCAAACTATGCAATGGGGCCTTCTTCCTCCTGCCTTGATGTGTGACCTTCCTGTCTAGTAAGTAAGGTAGAACCTATCTTTCCATTCAAAGAAGGGATGGAACTAGCAGAAAATCACTTACCTGGGCATTCTTCATTGCTGCAGATCCACAGACTATTTCGGCAAATGCTGTTGGGGACAGAAGCACATATCATTGGTAATTCTGCAAACAGGGTTTTCTTCCATTGCTACCAAGTCGATACCGACATGGCAACCCCATGTGTTACAGAGTAAAACTGCTTCAAAAGGTTGTCTTGGCTGTAATCCTTATTGATGCAGATCTCCAGGCCTTTCTTCCAATGCCCTACTGGGTGACTCCGAACTGCCAACCCTTAGGTTAGCAGTTCAGTGCAAACCATTTGTACCACCTGGGAACCTAAACACAGTGTATATGAATGAATATAGAGCTCACAACAGATACCACAGCCCCCAAAGGAAGGGATCTGGGAAAAGAAAGGAGCTTATGCTAGCGGGCTCTTTATGTGGCTGCAGGCCACTAGGGAATCTTGGAGATATTTGTGAGGGGAAGAAACCCGGACAGACTACCACTTGGAGGGGGATGTATGTAGGAGATCCAGATAGAACAGGAGAACAATGTGGAACAAAATTCAAAATAATTTTTTAGAAAAGGAGGGGGGGACCAGATTCCCTGGTCTGATAGAGCCTGCTGGAACCCCTGAGATTATGACCCCTAGCTGCCCTTCAGGTCTAGAATTGAACCCACTCCTGTGGCTTCCAGACAAACAAAAGACAGGCATATGAGCTGAACATTTACTTTAGGTAGATACACTCTTTGGAGAGATCAGTCATGGGAGAATAGAAGGGCTGTGTATGCACAGGGAGACAGCCGGGGGGCGGGGGCAGGACTGTATGAGAGGAAAAGACATAGGGAACAGGTAACTATGGGGAGGAAGTGGGAGGGGAGCTGTTGCATTGTGGGAAACTGCAGTCAATGTCATGAGACAAAGTGTATGTGAACTCCTGTATGGAAAATGAATTTGCTCTGTAAACTTTCACCCAAATCATAATAAAATTTAAAAAAAAAAAAAAAAAAAATAAATTTTTAAACAAAAAAAAAAAAAAAAAAAAAAAAAAAAAAAAAAAAAAAACGTATTTGGAAAAAAAAAAAAAAAAAACACTACATTCTAAAGGCAATAAAGGCAATAGGAACCCATTAAAGTGTTTTAAACTCTGGAAGAAAAAAAAGAAAAAAACCCTGACGGGGAAGCAGAAGAAGAATACCTAGAAGATATTATGTCCCTGAAAAATCTACCCAGCCACTAAGAAGTCAAATTTCTACACTTACACTCAGCCAGTGGAAGAGAACAAGGAAGAGCTGTTGAAAGAGATGCCCAGAACCATGCTGGGCAGCCAACTGACCTCACTGAAGGCTGAGTGAGTGCTGAAGCCTGCCCAGCAGGGAAAGAAAGCAAAGGGAAGAGGTCTGGAGATGAAACAAGAAGTTATTTTCCCGGATGTTCTGAGGCCAGGCAAAGCCAGCTAGAGTAAACATCCAAAGAGACTTCTTGAGAAGATGACTTGAGCTTAGCAGAGACAGGGAAACAAGCTCCTGGTTAATCTGTGTGTTTTCCCACTGCTGCTTCCTGAAAAAAACTAGTTTTCGTTGAGTTGATTCCAACTCAGAACAGCCCCATGTGTGTCAGAGTAGAACTGTGCTCTACAGGTTTTCAATGGCTGATTTTTATACATATATAGATTGCCAGGCCTTTCTTCCTAGGTGTCTCTGGGTAGACCTGAACCTCCACCATTTCAGTTAGCAGCTGAGCACATTAACCATTAAACCACCAAGGGACTTCCTATTGCTGTTAGCTGCCATCAAGTGGATGCCCAACTCATTACGAGCCCATGTACAAGATCAGACCACTGTGATACATAGAGTTTTCATTGGTTGATTTTTAGAAGCAGATCACCAGCCCTTTCTTCCTGGTCTGTCTTAGTCTGGAAGCTCCACTGAAACCTCCATCATAGCAATGTGCCTCCACTGACAGGTGTGTATATTGGCTGTGCTTAAAGAGAAACTGGCTGGGAATCGAACTGTATCTCCCAAATAAAAGGCAAGCATTCTACCACTGAATCACTAGTGCCTTCTAGGGACTCCCTCTTGTGTTGGTACTGTTGTTAGGTGCCATGGAGTCAATGCCAACTCATCACAACACCATATGACACAGTAGGACTGCCCCCATACAGTTTTCTTGGCTGTAATCTTTAGAAAAGTGGATCACCAGGTCTTTTTCCTTCAGAGCTGCTGGGTGGGTTAGAACCACCAATCTTTTGGTTAGCAGATGAGCCCTTAACCATTGAATCACCAGCACCTATTAATAGATCTCAAGGAGAGAAGGAAATGCATGCTACTTGATGACTATCATATAGTCCCTCTTCAAGGAGAGAAAAATCATATTTTACAGCACAATTTGAGGGGAGAGCTAGAGTTGTGGTTTACAGGTGAATGATCCTCCCCTGTTTGATCACCCCCATCCTACAGGCATATCTGTAATATAATCCTTGCTCTTCATCATTGACTTCTATGCCCTTTGCCAACCCCAAATCTTAGCTTATTCTCCCTCAGCCCAGGTGGCTGCAACTATTGCCGCAGCATCCTCTCCCCAAGTCCCTGGCCTGCTGCTCTCCCAGCTTACACTTACCAGGTGTTGCAGTCTTGTGAAAGGGAGGAGCCTGGAGGGTACCGCTTCCCAGAATGTACACAGGAACACTCTGTGCGCTCCACACAGCGGCCTTCATCAAGTAGCTGCCCCTCTGGGATCAAGGACACCAGAGCAGAGGTCTTAACATTGTCATCATCATTACTCATCTCACAAGTATATAATCCCCAAAGGCAGTTAGTTCAGAGCTTCTTCCAGGAAACTCAAAGCAGCTCTGAGATGTTTACCTTTCACATTAACCAATATGAAGGAAGGGATTTATTCATGTCCATTCTACAGGTAAAGAAATTCAGGAAAGAGTTTTGTTCAAGGTCAAGTAGGGAAGTCATGAGTCTAGGCTTACAGTTTCTTCTAGGACACTCAAAGACCTTTCACAGTAACACAGTGTGGGGAAGTGGGGGAGGATTAGGAATCTCCATTCTATAGATGAAGAAATGGGGAAAAGAGTTTTGTTCAGGGCCTTCTAGAAAGGAAGCCAAGAGTCCAAACACATAGGATTCACTATTAATATAATTAAAGAGTTTTTCACCAAAGCTCACAAAGTTTCTCTTGAGAAAAAATTTCTAGCACAAACCTCTTTTTCAACTGAATTCACATGGCAAACTCAGGAAACATTTTAAAATATCTCTCCCAGACTGATTCCCTATCACCTAACTGGGAAAACAAAACTGCAGCTCAGATTGGGCCACATGTTACCCAAACAAAGTAACCGTTGGAGCCTAGGCCATCCTTCTAGTTCCCTAGACAGAAGTGCTTTCATGGATATAGTACAAAAGGAAAACATAAATTAAAAACAAATACCAGCTTAATCCCAATCACTCTGGTCAAAGACTTTTAAAAAAATAAATAGTAGGCCTCTGATTTCAGCAGTGGGGAACACAAGTAGCCTTCATCTCGTCTTCCAAAGTCAAGGGCACTGGCAAGGTCTCAGGTTTGTAAATAAAGTGGTAAGTTTATTACCGGGGCAGCTGCAGCCATCCACACATGGCTCCTCACACACTTCATTGATGTGTAGGCTCTGGCAGGTTCTGGTGCAGGGGGACACACACTCCTTATACTCCATGCCAGCCGGGCATGCCAGTCCTAAAACAGAAAACCAAAGTCACTTCCCCCGCAGTGGTTTCCCTCCAGTGCAGCATCCTACAAGTCATGTCAAATTCAGAGCCTCCTTGTCCCCTTCAGCTGCTATAAGGACCATCTCTATCTCAATAACCAACATACCTCTTTGAGGCCTCCCCACTGCCCAACCACCCCTAATCTGAAAGTATTCCCTCTTATGAGGTACTGGCTAGGACTTACCAGGTTCACCTAGGACTACCCTCTACTCCCTTGATCATCTATCCCCCGAACAATGTGGCATTGCTTTGCTCCTCTATGCTCTGACCCTTTCACCAAAAACACTTTCAGGGTGAGACTGAAACTCTTACACTGGAAAAAAAAAAAAAAGGCTTCCTGGGACCAAGCAATGTCCTCACATCTCCCCTCTGAAAATTCCTCTTCCCCATGGATCGAGATTAATCCAATGCCCTACCTAGCAGGGGCAAATTATATTCATGCCCTCTTTCTCTGCATGGGTGATATTCATTCTGTATTTATTTCCACTTTGCTGCAGAACTATATTCAGGGTCCTACTACCTAAGTGTGTCACTATGCTCCTCTACTGGACCCAGCTCCTCTGGGCCAAGGACTAGATCTCCTCCTTTCTAACTCATCACCAACTGATGTTCTGGCAGACTGAAAAAGCAGGCCATACCAAAGCTCTTTTCTGGATGTCCTGACACCAAAACAATTGCCCCAAGCACCTTCTCTTTCAAGATACATCAAGTATCTCCACCACCCAGTCTTCAAAGAACAAAAGTAACTGCCACTCTATCAAGTTTTTCCTTACAGAGGAGAAACCAGCTGCTAATATTCACCTTTCTCACAACCCTCACAGCAAAGATAAAAAGCTTTCGTTTATAAGCTGTTTGCTGCAAACATGTGTGTAGTGTAAATATTTTGCCAGCTCCTCTGTCTCCACCAGTCTGTATTATCTGTGTAATTATCCCAAACTGGTTGTTCATCTGCATAGCTTTTGATTAGTGAAATTGGGTGAGAGGAGGTTTCCTGCAAGGTGACCAGAGAAGGCCCTACTTAATCACAGTAACTTGGGGATAGTGATAATGACTAGGGACCTAACGGGATTAGAAGATCAAAACCGTGGGAGCCATGAGGTGAGGTGGAAAGAATGTGTTCAGCCTGGAGGAGGAGAGAAGGCTGATTTAATAAAAGGGAAAAACTTAATAAAAGCCTCCGAGCCACTGAAAGATCATCACGTGGACAGTTGGCCAACTCCCTGTGCCTTGTCAATTCAGACAGCCAGATAGTGAAGACATCAACTAAAATTGCAGCTGCTGAGATTTTAGTCAGATGCAGAGAACATTTTGCCAGTCAGGGAATAGATTTCTTGAGGGAAGTCATGGGGAAAATGGGAGACCCATCGAATAAACAGAGGCAGGAGAAAGGACAAGCGGCTGGCCTTTCAAACTTAAACCAAAAACCAAACTCACTGCCATCTAGTGGATTCCAACTCAATAGCTACACCCTTTTCAGTTTCCGAGGCAGTAAATCTTTAGGGAAGTAGACTGCCCAGTTTGCCTTCCGCGGAATGGCTGGTGAGTTTAAACCACCAACCTGCTCATTAGCAGTCCAATGCCCTAGGCACTATGCCACCAGAGCTCCTTCTTTCAAACTTAGCCACAGACTTTTGGAGCAAAGTGCCCTCTACCGGCCATTACAGACTCTACCAGGGTAAGAGAGCAGGAGCCTTTCAGAAACCAGGTTTAGGAACATGGCGGCTTTTGCAGGCAAGGACTGAGAAGGGGTGTGAAAAAGGTAAACAACCCAGACACAGCTCTTCGGCTTCCAGTCCAGGACGAACACCGCTCATCACCACCAGAGCACTTTCCCCAGCCAGGGAGCAACTCAGGACAGGAAGGACGGGGGGGGGGCGGGCGAGGACACCAACGCCATGGTGACTATGGAAGTCGGGTTTGCCCAACCTTCCTGGGGGGGGGGGGGGGGGGGGGGTGGCCCTCAGGACTTGAGGGCCATGACTTACGGCAGGTGCTGTGATCACTCCAGCCATACAGCCTAACACCCTGCTGCGCACAGGCACGGGCATACTCCAGGAGCACAGAGCAAGGGCATTCTGGGCCTTGTGTGCACGTGCACAGAGTCTTCTCACACAGAGCCACAAAAGGTTCGGGATCCACCAAGGTGTGGCAGCGGGCGAACACGGAGGCATTCTTCAGTAGCTGGCATTTCTCCCACAGGACCTGCGGAACAAGATGGCCTCCTCAGCAATGGTAGTGCCTTGTGACCCCTACAGCTTTCATGTGCCTGTTAGTACCTCCCTAAGCTTGTGGCAGGAGCTCTGGTAGTGTAGTGCCTAAAGCACTTGACTGCTAATCAGAAGGCTGGCGTGCAATCCCACCAGCCATTCCTCAGAAGGAAGTTGGGGCAATCTACTTCCGTAGTGATACTGTCTTAGAAACCCAAGGAGGGGTCAGAAACCCAAGGAGGGGTCACTATGAGTAGGGTCCTACTCAACTGCACGTAACAACAACAACAAGCTTGTGGCAGCCGGGGATGACTTAACTCTCCCCGGGTAATTAAGGAAGCTCCTACAAGACAGAGGCTGTGTCTTTTTCATTCACCACTATCCTCCCAGCATGTGGCACAGTTCCTGGCACCCAGGGATATGGATTACCCAATAAGCAAAGTATGCACAGGCTTGATTGTGGTTACTTACTAATCTGTAGTGAACAGTTTCACATAGGTGATTCCTGTGTTCCCCAGTTCCCATCAGCAAAAACATGCTAAGATTCTACTAAATGTCACAGAGATACTCTGCAAGACAACTGCTATTCTTAGGTTTTATCATTGTGCTGATACCTTCAACTTAAGTAAGGGAAGTTTGGGATTCTGGCCCTTTATTACTCTTGCTAACTCTTTATTATAACTCAAACTCACTGCCATCAAGTCAATTCTGACTCTTAGAGACCCCCCTTTGGTTTCAGAGGCGGTAAATCTTTATGGACATAGACTGCCTGGTCTTCCTTCCATGATATATGATGTTGTTGTTGTTATGTGTCGTCAAGTCGGACCCAACTCATAGCGACCCCTCCTTGGGTTTCCGAGGCAGTATCACTACAGAAGTAGATTGCCCTATCTTCCTTCCGAGGAGTAGCTGGAGGGTTTGAACCGCCAGCTTTCTGGTTAGCAGTCAAGTGCCTTAGGCACTATGCTACCAGAACTCCTATGATATACTATAGAATCATAATTTTAAAAATTATTTTATTTGTAGTGGTGTTGGGAATATGCACAGCAGAACATAAACCAATTCAACAATTTCTACATGTACTGTTTAGTAACATTGATTCCATTCTTCGAGTTGTGCAATTATTCTTCCCTCCTTTTCTGAGTTATTCCTCCCCTATTACAATAAACTCCCTTCTCTTAAGTTTCCTGATAAACTCACTGCCATCAAGTTGATTCCAATTCATAGTGATTCCCATAGGGTTTCCAAGGCTGGAAAACCTTTATGGAAGCAAACTACCTCATCTTTGCCCCATGGAGCAGCTGGTGGATTCAAACCAGCAGGCTTTTGGTTAGTAGCCCAATGCCTTAATCACTGTGCCACCAGAGCTCCTTAGATTCCTGATAGCATCATAATTTAATTGGCAACTTTTTCTTTCTAGTGGTACAGAGAATAATGATATGTCTTAGAATCAACAATGTCCTAGATTTGATACAATACAGTATCATCAATAGAAACAGTGGAGGTAGTTTGCATAATTTATTTCATTCATATGCACACTCTCCTAGAAGCCAGTTATCTTAGTTCCACAAATGAATGGCTTTAACAAACAGAATTATTCTCTTATAGTTTAGGAGATCAAAAGTTCAGGGTGCTAGTGAAATAGGATCAAACGCGGGTCCCTGCCCGGTGCACAGTCAAGCCAAAACAGTTTACACACCGAGTGATTAAGAGGAGAGAAAATTATTTATTGCAAGGAGCAATGAAAGGAGTAAGGGAATCCATAACCAGATTTGACTCTCCAAAACTCCATTGATTTACAGTGTTATAGGCTTCAGAAGAGGTTATACATATTCATAAAAATTTCAGGAATTTGGGCGTGAGATGGTTGACAATTGGCTGAAATGTTAATTCCCAGTAACTTTGTTCTTCTCTGCCCCACTGTGCATGTCTGCTGGGGAGCCAGAGTTAATTTTCAAGTTGTTTTCTAAGACACATTAACGTGTTTATTACCTGTGCCTAAAGAAATAGTAGGAAAGAATGTTTTTCATTCAGTTCTTAAGGAACTGAGCTTATCGTATTTACTCATTTGTTTCCAACCAGAGTCCTATGTGTTTACTCATCTATCTCCAACTGGGGTCTGGGTGGGGAAATATTGTTGTTGTTAAGTGCTCTTGAGTCTAGCTGGGACTCATAGTGACCCCTCCTTGGGTTTCCGAGTAAATTGCCCAACCTTCCTTCTGAGGAGTGGCTGGTGGGTTTGAACTGCCAGCTTTCTGGTTAGCAGTCAAGTGCCTTAGGCACTATGCTACCAGAGCTCCTGGGTGGGGAAGTAGTTGAGAGTAATTAAGTTTACTTATCAACTCCCATCAGGGGTCCTATCTGTTCTAATTATCTGCCCTAACCAGAGTGGGGGAAATAATTTTGACTTTACTCAGTTTCACTAGCTCCAGGGGAAGACTTTCTCTCTGTCTTCTCTCTCTCTCTCTTTCTCCAGGATGATCCCAGTGCAGAATTCTGAGTCCAAAGGATGCACTCTGCCCCTGGCTCCTCTTTCTTCATGGTAGTCAGTCCCCCTTCTCTCCTCCTTTCTCTCTCCTTTTATCTCTGGTAAGATAAAAGGTATTGCAGGCCACGTCCCAAGGGAAGCTCCCCTTACATCAGATCAGGTCTGTGATAGGACTAAGGGTGTTGCAACCCACCCTTAATCTTAATTCTTTTGCACCTGATTGGTTTATCACATCACACCATCAGGTATCATCACATAGTCTCTAAACCACTGAGAATCACGGCCCAGCCAAGTTGACACAAATTTTGGAGGGACACAATTCAATTCAAGACTCCAGCAATTAGACATAACCTGCAGCTAAAAAGAAAGAAGAGCAGAAGGATCAAAACAGAAAAGCTAAGTCCTAAAGGGTAAACCAGAGCAAATCAGTAAAGGGAGAATAAAAAGAGGAAAGAAATTACCAGTTTTGAAAAAAGAGAAATCCCTGCTTAAAATATACAAAGAATCCCCAGAGCAAGTCCACATAAACTGAGCAGCAGCCTCAGACCAGTCCATGGACCCATGGAAAACATGGAGGAAAACAATCTGATCTGATGCTGCTCACCATCCACAAGAACCACCCAGTAGCACCCAAAAACCCTGTCCTGCCCACAGTGCCACTATGCTGAGGACTTGAATCTATGACAGAAGCAGGCAAGCAAGCAAGGCAGAATGTCACAGCTGCTCCCAGACCACAACAGACCCTGGGGCACCCAGGTGGGGAGGCCAAGACTGTGGCACAGACACACTGGACAGGGCTGGTTCCCTCCTTATGTTAGAAAAGCAGCAGCAAAGGAGGGCTGCTAAGCTGCAAAACTCCAGCAGGCTAGCTTGTGGGTGGAGTCCCACTCTCTGAGCTACTTTTGGTCAAGTTGGGAGTTCTGCACACCCAGAGGCTTCCTGGGTAGGAAAAGCATATACTTAAAGCCCAGCTCGGCTACTTCCTGACAGTGGGGACTAAGGCAAATCTCCTCACCTCTCTGGACAAGGGTGTCCTTGCATTAAGTGGGAATAATAATGATATTCACACAATCTCATGCAAGCAAGCAATAAATGAAGACTATTGTTCCCAGTTCTATGGCCATTTAGCTCTCACATAATTTCATTTATCCTTCCACTTGCCACCCTGAGCATTTTGCACAAGGGGACATGGAGTTTTCTGAAGATGATGACCAGGAAAGGTGACAGGTAGGCAGGCTTCCCTTGGCCTTGTTATGACTCTAACAGCCCTGGATTGAAGTTCAGCATCTTCCACCTGCTACCTGTTTGACCTTGAGCTGTTTACTTAACCCTTTTCCCTCAATAATTGTTCCTCTCTGGTAAGATTATAGTGGAGATGGAAGGTATTGCGTGTAAAAGGTTTAGCCCAATAAATGGTGACCCTATATTTTCATCATTGCAATTGGTATCTTGGCCACCAGAGAGATCCCTTCCACCTTCCCTGCATGCCATTAGGCTTATCCTCCAGAATGGTGAGCAGATCACTAACAGGACAGAAGGATACCTTTGTCCCTTTTCCCCCATCTCCATCTCCCTGGGCTGTATAGGGATAAACAATTGGCATGGCACATTATCACTTCTCTCACATCTTGAGTTCTCTGTGGTGAACAGAGGAACTGCTTTTGTTAAACATTTATTTGGAAAATTCACACTTCTCCAGAACAAAGTGTGTTTCTTTCTAGAACAGACGAGGGGAATCTCTCTTCTTTGTAACGAGTCAGAGAGCCTCAATTCTCACTGGCAGTTTGAGGCTAAGAGTAGGAGCCTGAGGACTGAGGCAATTCCTTTCCATTCTGCCACCTCCCTGCCCTTCAGAAATACCAGTCAGGAAGTAAGGTCACTGAACCCTCAAAGGGTAGCTCACAGAGAGGGCCAGATGCCCAGGCTCTTGCCTTCCTCCTTCCCCACCCACAACTTAGAACTAGAGAAACACTCAAAAAGGCTACTCCATGGGGTTTTTCTAGTGATCTCTGTCATCTCCTGGGCTATGGGGTAGGGGCTTGGAGCAATCTCTACACCACAGGGCAATTCTATAAGGGCAGGGACCAGGAGCCTGGCAAATATTACCTAGCAGGACACAGCATCAGTCAGAGGAAAGAACAGACACCAGGAGTCCAGGCACCCCCACCCCTTTCAGAGAGCATGGCCTGTCTCCAACTGGCCCCAGTTAGTCTTTTCTCCCACTCAAAGGAAAATAGGAACAGTACTACAGCCCATTTCCTGGGAGGTCCCTTGAGGTATTAAATGATTTACAGAAAGCCTTAGCAAGAAGGGTGTTTTCTTGTTATTTGCCTGCAGGATGAGAGTGGATTTCTGCAGAAACAGTCACTTTCCTCCTAGAACAACTCCTTTGGCCTCTCTCATGTACCTGAAATCTGTAAAGGTAAGGGTTCCTTTCTCATTAGAAACAAAAAGTCTGTCATCACACCTTATCTTCCAGTCTTTCTCTGATCAGCCAGGCTTGGATT